TGGGAATGTGTGGGGAGACTGCCATAGGGCACCTACACTTGCCAGAGAGAGAGAGACAGATACAGTGAGAGTGAAAGAAATCCCCCCTCCCGGGGGAAGAAAAAAAAGCCATAATCCTTTCTCCTCCATTCTCCTCTTGGGATTTTGAGCATCCATGCACATGTACCCAGCATAATTTTCAAGCTGCTGGATCTGGGATTTGAATAATGATTAGCTATGTGGAAATCCAGCACGTAACCACCATGCCACCTGCTGCCCCCAGAACTTGCACATTATTAATCTTGCATGATTAAGCCAGGAGACTTGGCCCCTCATTCAGTGAGGGAGAAGCAGGAAGGAAGCAGCTGGTGTAGCAGAGACTGACTGACCCACAGGCCCGGGGAGGGGGTTTGTGTCTGCGGGTGACACACTGTGGGAGGAGCGCTATAATACTGCTGACAATAGTAAGCCGCCGTGTCTTCAGGCCGGAGGCTGCTGATGGTGAGAGTGAAATCTTCCCCAGACCCACTGCCACTGAATCGGTCAGGAATCCCAGGTGCCCGGGTGGATGCCCAGGAGATGAGCAGTTTAGGAGCTTGTCCTGGTTTCTGCTGGTGCCAGGCTAAGTAATTCTTCTGGTTGGAGCTTGATAAAAGACTCTGGCTGGACTTGCAGTTGATGGTGACCCTCTGTCCCACAGAGGCAGCCAGGGAGCCTGGAGACTGGGTCATCACAATATCCCCACAGGCACCTGCAATTGGGAGGCAGTGACCACACATTGTATCACTAAGGTATTAAAATATATATCTGAAAATGTAGGTTTTCTTATATGTCATAAATAATCAGGCCGTTTTAGATTGCTAAGTTATTAAAATGTATATCAGAAAATGTAAGTTTTCTTATAATTCATAAATAATCAGGACATTTTAAATGACTTTTTGTTTTCATCCTGTATGTGATAATCATTTTTAATTTTACGAAGATGGTACTGTGTGCCTCTCACCTGACATCCAGAGCGCCAGGCAGACGAGGAGTTGGGGCTGCGGCGCCATCCTGCTGCTGCTTGCCTGTCAGATGCTCGGGCCCATCTCCAGGGCAACCCCATTAATAGAGCTCTGGGCAGCCAGCCTTGGCCCCAGTGAGCCTATGCAAAGCATCGGAGAGCATGAAAGCACAGGTGCCTGTGCGGTGAGTCGTGGTGACAAGCAACGGAAAGAGGGGACAGAGAAACCCCTACTCTGGAAAGTGCCTGCAAAGGCCCAGGAAACAACTTTAAACTATCATTGTTAACAAAGTGTTGCAAAAGTTCAAAATGAAAGCTACTTTTTATAGCAATTGTACTCTTTCAAACCAATTGCAGTCAACTTGAAACATAAAAGCATTTTTGACAATCTTGTGAAATAGTGAAATTTCTCCATGGGAAATGTTGATATGTACAACAATTGTACAACACTGGCTTACAATTTTCATGGTTCTCCAGGTTAAGAAGGAGTCATTTTAAATAATGTTCCCTTGATCTTGATTTGACTCCTTATGGTAAAAATAAAATGGTGATGTTCCTCATCTCACTATCGAATTTGGCTGGCTAAGACTACAGGATCATTTGGCAAATTTTCAGTTCCAATGATCGGAAATATCAACATATTCTGTACTAAATAGTAAAGGAAATGCTGGTACTTAACCTAACGAAAAGTCCAAAGAAATAGTTTTAAGAGAAGGCTTGGTCTGGTCTCTCATTTTCAGCTCTAAAATCCAGTTTATTCCTCACTCTCCCCTCTGCTTTCCACTGTGCTAGCTCTGTGCAAGGGATGCTTTAGAATGAATGCTGATAGATTGCAGTGTGACAAGGCCCTTGCTCATCTATGGTGTCCACCCCTCAAATTCCAGGATGATTCTGAGGTTATGACAAAAGGGGTAAGCTTGGCCAACCAGCCAGATCACTGCAGACCATGTAGCCAAGAAGAAGGAGTCTCTGAAAGATGAAGTTAATGTCTTATATTTCATCCCTGGGATCAGTTTGGAATTCCATAAACCAGTCTAAAAAACAGTAATAGCTTTGGAGGGAGAAAATATTTGCTTTGAATGAGACAACATAATGTAATGGTTACATCTCTGGACTTCCATGTAGTCGACTGTGGTTTGAGTTCCAGACCTGGCAGTTTAAAACTCCTACTGGGTCTGTGTGCATGCGTGCCTAAACCTGAGAGGAGAATAGAAGAGAAGCAATAGTGGTACGCCATTTCCCTGGGAGCTGATCTCTCTCTTTCTGTCTCTCTGGCAAGTGCATGCTTCCTATAGCAAAAATCTCTCTAAACAAACAAACAAACAAACAAAAAACTCCTTAACTTGAAACATAAATTCAATTAAAATATTTTAAGTTGCTATTCTGAGACAGAGCATGATCTAATTCAGAAGTGAGTGCAGAAGAAAGAATCTAAACACACACACACGTGTACACACACACACACACACACACACACTTTGTATAAAAATAATTCCAAGATTGGCAGCAGCAGTGATTTGTCTGTTTTAATTAGCTATAGATGGTTGCATGCATTCCATAATCTATTCCTCATTATAAAGGAATATAAATATATCATCTTTATATGAAAGCACAGAATTGGCCTCTCTGGTCTCACTGATATCTACAGGCACCAAATGTAAGGAGCTTCTTAACCTTCTTGCAGGTCCCAGGGCTGTGCCATACTTGAAAGACCCTGTCATAGGCAGAACAGGAGTGAGAATAGCACCCTCAATCTTGAAGAGATTAAATAACACTACTCAGAGGACACTAGACTATTCTGTGGGCCTTAGAGAGAAACATGTTCTTTGCAGACAGATTTGCACTGCCCTGGCCTGACCTGGGACACCTGGGACCCTGGCCTGGGCTGAGTTCCTGAGATGACCAGCCCTGCAGCTGTGTCCAGCCTCTGCTCATTTGCATGTTCCCAGGGCACAAACCATGGCCTGAAGACTTATTAATAGGCTGGTCATAGCCTGAGCAGGGTCAGTCTCTGTCAGGACACAGCATGGACAGAGGGTCCCTGCTCAGCTTCTGGGGCTCCTGCTGCTCTGGCTCCCAGGTAAGGAAGGAGAACAGCAGGATTCACTCAGGACAGTGTGGTCAGTGCTGCTGGCCCTTCAGAAAGTCCTCCCATAACATGATTACCTGTGTGGATATTTGTTTCTCTGTTTCTACTCTCAGGTGCCAGCTGTGACATCCAGATGACCCAGTCTCCATCCTCCCTGACTGTATCTCTCAGAGACAGAGTCACCATCACATGCTGGGCGAGTCAGGGCTTTGGCAATGCTCTATCCTGGTTCCAGCAGAAACTAGGGAAAGCTCCTAAGCCCTTGATTTATCATGCGACCAATCTGGTGTCCCATCGAGACTCAGTGGCAGTAGGTTTGGGAGAGATTTCACTCTCACCATTAGCAGCTTAGAGTCTGAGGATGTTGGAACTTATTACTGTCATCAGTACCAAGAGCCCCTCCCACAGTGTTATAGGCATGAACATAAACCACCCAGAGAGGCCGATGTGTGAGCTGGGCTTTTTCAGCTGCCTCTCCTGGGGTCTCCATCTGCTGAGGGTGTTTCTTAGATGCAGCCGAGCTTTGCAGGTCACTGGGAGGTTTTGGTAGAGTGGGCCAGGGAAGTCCTACAGTCTATCTTTCCTCTCAGTACCATCAGCACAGACATAAAAATGCCTCTCATGATTTAATAAAGGACAGAGCTCATTATACTTGAGGTGTCTGTTAGAACATAAGTCAGTATTCGTACAGCAAGAAAAGTCCCTGTAGAGAATCCAAGCAGAAATTGTTTTAGTATAGCAAATTGTGAAGCCTAACCTACAGCCATTTAGGGATGGATGCTGTACTAAAAATGGGGAAGTTCTCTCTTGCCCAGAAGCCAAAGTACATTTGCCACTGAAGGTACAGGCAGCCTAACCATGTGCTTCAGAAAGCCCAGGATCAGGGCACCTCCCAGGTGATTCTCCAGTTTGCACCTCTGTCCATGCATCTGTTGGCAGGTGCCAACGGATGGTATTGAGCCTCCCTCTTATGACTTCTATATTTCAGGTGAGGCTCCTCATTGAATAGCCCTACAGGAACTGTAACCATAACACGAAAAGGGCTTGAGAAATGAGCTTCTAGAAGTGACGGTGAGGATGGAGCGTGGACAGCGGGTGGCCCAGTGTGGTCACTACTGCTGCATCTTAGAGTTTCCCAGATAGGAGTTGGGCACAGAATACACTTGACATGCTACCAAGTAATATCAGAATATCTAGTATAATAGCAAGAAAACTTCATTATGTCATATAACAGAAAATGAGGAATTGTACTGAAATATATAGAAATCATTTAGCAAACAAATGATTAGCCTTCTCTTATTTTTTAAAGTTTTTTTTCTTTCTTTCTTCTATGTGAGAGAAAGTGAGAAGACACCCCAACAACATCCTCAGACCATGATCCAACCTGTTCTCCTAGGCCATAGCCCGCCCAGATCACTGGCACACACATGCCTCGGGTGTACAAGAGGACCTCAGTACATAAAGCTGTGACCTTCCCATGTGTCAGCCTGGCAGTTAAACTACAGCACTTCTGTCTGGTCCCCTGAATAGCTTTCTTTCCTCCTCTACCCTCTTCTTTTTTTAGAGGTTTTTGCCTTAGGGCATGTGTGCTTGCCAGAGG